GAAGGAGAGGGAAAGGGAGAGGAGGAGGAAAGAGAAACAGGAGAGACTTTTTACCCAAGGGAGAAGCTGGACAGCACAGGGTAAACTGGATTCTGAGGTGGTTTTGCATAAATAAAGGGCAACAGTCAGTTTCTAAGTTCTCCACACACGCACACACACACAGGGAGGGAGGTGTCCCACGGCTGTCATGACTGGCCAATCAAAAACAGTACATCACAAATGACTTGTGAAACCAATGAGTTCATCAACGGTGATACCGAGATGTCCAACAGCCGCGACTCGTACAGCGTGAACTCCGAGTGGTTCTCGTCCACCTTGGCCAGGGCCAGCAGCGCGCGGGCAGCCCGCCGCATCATGTCCACACTAGTTGGCTCGAAGGGCGGGTTCTGCATGTGGAGCAGGCTGGCCTGGCTCTGCTGGAACTGGGTGGCAGCAAGGCTGTCCTCCAGGAAGCCGAGGAGGTTGCCGATGCTGCCCTTCTGCACGGCGATGGCGCGGGCTGCCAGGCTGTCGCCCTGCGCCAGGTTGGCCAGCAGAACCACGGCCATCTCCCGGCACACCGGGTTCTTTCGGTCACTGAGGAAGCGCACCATGGTGCTGTACAACTTCTCCAGGCGGCTGAAGGGGGGCGTGGCCAGGATCAGGTCCACATTGTTGTCCTGGATGCTGAGTTTGCTGAGGGTTTCCAAGACCAGTCTCTGGGGGGAGAGGACGGCGTTGGGGCCCAGGGTGGAGAAGGGGTCCTGGGCTTCAGCGGAAGGGCAGACTGCCCAGTGTAGGAGTCCGTCCAGGACAGGCAGGCAAATGCTCTCAGGGTACGGGGAGAGGTCCAACTGCCCCGAGATGTTGGCGAGCGTGACCAAGGTGTTTTCCCGGAGCATCTCCAAGCAGTCCCACCACCACTCCACTTTGTTGCAGCTCACCCCTTGGTCCTGCTCCTCCTCCTTCTCGTAAGTCAGTGGTGCCTGCTTCCGCTCTGGGTGCTTGTGGTGCAGGAGGATCAGCTTGCCCAGGATCAGCAGCAGCCCCGGGTGTTTGGACATCTCAAAGTCGTTGCCGGGCACAAACGACAGGCTTCGGATGGTATTGGAGACACAGACGCAGCGCTTAGCGAGGGAATCCTGCCAGTCCAGAAGGGTACACAGTGGAGTCTCATCTTTACTGTGGGGTTCGTCCTCTAGGATCTTGATGTTCCGGTGGCTCTGTGCCGGGCTGATGCCGAATGGAAACTTGCTGCTCTCCTTGGTGGCCTCTGCATTCTTAGCTCCCTCCTCGGTCAACGTGCTAGACCGGGTGGACAACATGTCATCCATTGTGGCTGTGATCCGTTTCTCCGGAGGGCCATCAGGTGGGGGGCCCTCCTGTTCTGTTGTCCCTGGAGTACCCTCTGCTGCTGTGACATGTTTCCGGGTGACTGGTGGGCAGGGCACATGAGGCCGGGTCGGCAGCAGCTCTGTCTTGCTCTCAAAGTGGGTCTGGATATGCTCAGTGGTGTCCCCCCCACCAATCCGCCAGTGCAGCAGGCCACTGTCAAACTCCTGCACGCGCCCAAGCTTATCTGAGCAGTCCACCACAAACGGGTCATTCTTCTGCACAATCTTTACTGGAAGCTTGTCAAACTTACTAATCAGTTTCTCCTCACTACTCTCTGAGGCTGCCTTGTCCTTGCCCGAGAAGGCCATCTCCTCGTCATTTTCCACTACTTCCTCTTCTTCTTCCTCCTCTAGTTTAGGACCTAGAAGGTCTTCCTCTTCCTCCCCCTCCATGGGGGCTGGACTAGACGCCTTGCTGAATCTCCCAGGGTCCAGTAGTGTTCTCTGTCCTGGGTCACCCACCTCATACTCCTTTAAAATGCCAAAGATCTCGATCAGGCAACGTCGGAAATATTCCACAAGGAGCTCTAGCAAACCTGGGAGCTAAAGAGAGAAAAACAGGAAATAAATGAAGGAAGAAAAGTGGGCTAAAGGAGAGAATCCTTGATCTGAGAGGCCTCCCACAGTCTTCTACCTAATCTCCCCTCCTTTCCTTGTAGGTCAGACATCTGTATCCCCAGGAGAGACAGAGTTGCTCCTTTACCAAAGGCTCTCCACAGAGTAAGTCATTCAATCTTTCCTATGCCCAGCATACAGTTCTTCCTTCTGCTCAGCCTACCTCCACGTAACCTGCCTCCAGCAGGACGGACATGCTGACCGACAGCTCTGCACCTCACCTCTTGGCCTCCTCTTCCCAACCAATTCCTGCTTTTCTTCACCAGGCCCAGTTTCCTACCTGCTGGTCATTGATACTGTCCCTCTTAAGACACTCTCTATATTCCACTGCCAAGTATAGCCCAAGGCTAGGCATGGTGGGATGATCCCTTCAACACGAGCTAAGAAAGGGAAAGCAGTGTGGACAGATATTGACCTGCTCTCTTCTCCTAGCTCCCCAACATTCCAGGAGGCTGGACCTCCATGAGTCAATCATGCAACATAATGAGTGGGATGAGGCTTCAGTCCTCCAAACATTGGTCTAAGCTGGTGCTAGGTAGACCCAAGTTCCAGCTTGGATCCTGTATAGGTCATTTACCTCTAGAAGAAAACACTAATCTCCAGTCAGATTAATCTCTGGCCAAAGAGAATAAAGCAGAATGGAAAAAATAAGGGCTTTAGAATTAGAAAGATCTAGGTTTGCATTCTAGCTTTTCTAGGAACTAGCCATGTGATTTAAACTCTCTAACCTATACTACTTCTATCTTTCCACTGAACGCAATGGAAATTCCTACACTTGACACCGACTGTTCTGAGGTCTAAATGGAATATACCAAATGCCTGGCATATGGAAATTGCTCAATCAATACCTGTTCCTTTTCCTTCTCATGGGGGGCAATTTTATGTAATGGACATAAAGTTGGGCTCTGGAATCAGAAAGACTGCTGACAGCTGTGTGAACTTGGGCAAAGATAAGACTCTGAGCCTGTGTACTCTTCTCTAGGAGGCCACATGTGTCTCAGAAGGCTGTTGTGAAGATGATATGAAAGAACATATGAAGGACCTAGCCCAAAGTGATGGCACACGAAATGGTTAACTCTTAACAATTCCCTCTAGTCAGCTCCTTGATAGATAGGTTGGTAGGTACACTAAGGATGATCAAAAGAAAGAGTGGGATGGTGCAGCAGAAACTCTTCCTAGCTATTGGTAAGACTCAAGGTGCACGTCTTGTGGAGAGAGGATCTGGAGAATCACCTCTGCAAGAACATAATTAAAATACCACCACCACCACCCACAAGCAGACTTCACTTCCCCTTCTATACCTTAGGAAAACGGGATCAATAAAGACCTCCTATATTCACAGTGCATGAAGACAGAGAAGAAGAAACTGCCGTGCTCACTAATAAAGACCACAGGTTTTTCTTGGTAGTCTTGAAAGTTGGGTGTCTTCACTCACACCAATAGAATCTGCATTTCTTTCTTTTTTTTTTTTTTTTTGCATTTCTTACCAATACCAAAAAGTTTCTCCCAAATTCCCTTTGAAGTCAATCCTGATACCTTACACAAATTATTACTGTTCTCAGTGCTCTGGGCCCACGGCCAGTGGCAACGTACTGGCACAGAAGATACCAGAGAGTGAGCGAGAGAGGGGAGACCATGTTGGCCGGGGATGGCTTAATTCCCTGTGTCACTTAGTGCGGTCTGCTTCAAGATCCCAGGCCCTCCCATCCTTCCAATCTTTCCCAGGCACCTGTACTCACCTGACTGAGGTTGAAGGTCATGATGCTGTTGTCATCATACAGCAGGATGTTAATGGTGTCTAATGCCCATGTGCTCTCTGCCAGCAGCCCAGACTTGAGGGACATCATTACCCGCCATGCCTCCGGGGTTCCTGAAATAAACCTCCATGTCGCCCATCTACCAAGCCCAGGTTGGCCAGATGCTCCCCCAGGGCTGGCCCATCAGTCAGGCTACTCTGAAGATAACACATGGCAGGAGGCAGTTCCTATCTAGGAGAAGACACACATCTGCTTCTAGGCTCCCTTAGGACATCACTGCATGGCGCTTCTTTTGGTAAAGCCTGAAATCAGCTGTTTTCCTTATCCAAAGTTCTTTGGCTCTATTATAGACAACACTGGACCAAGATCTTATCCCATCCGGAATATTAGGATGGAGAAAGAAAAATGGACAAGATTTTAAGGGGCAGATGAAGCAACCTGACGAGGGAGGTCTCCTTACCGATGTCTTTCATCGTGAGCCGCCTCCTCTGCTTCAACACGGGCTGTGTTGCTTCCACGGAGCCAGGTGGGAAGGTGATGTCCCGCCGAATCATGGGCGGCTGCACGGGGGCAGGTGCTATGTGCGAGGCAGGTACCGGGGGACCTGCCTTTTGCATCTTCATCCCAGAGTGTAGGAATGGAGACTTGCTAGGAGAGGTGCGGTTCTCCATTGGCCGGGGCAGGGGAGCGGGGCTGGATACCTGAGGAATGTGATTCTGCATGCTTGGCGGGGGCTGGTAGTTGGAAGGAGGGGGCCTTGTCATGGGGGGCACGGGGGCAGAGGGACCATATGGGGGCTGCCGTGTGCCATGGGAAGGCCACGGGCCTTCATGGTTGGCCCTCTGATCCGTATGCAGCATTTCATCTGTTCGGTTCACGCCATGGTAGGCGGGGCCCTGGGGGGCAGAGCCAGTGCTCTGCCTGTTGGTGTAATTGTAGGTCATGTCATTACGCCCCTGCCACATGGTGCCTTGCTGAGCGACCTCAGCCGATGCTTGTATGGGGCCGCCCATCATCTGCGGTGGCATGTTCTGCTGGGCATTGGAGCCAGGGGGCGCAGAGACACGGTCTCGGCCAAACTGGAATGGAAACTGGTTCTGGGGGCCGCCCGCTGGTCGGCGCTCAGTAGCAGCGGCGGCCGTGGCAGGATAGGCGTTGCCATACTGGTTGTACACATCTTGCTGAGGGGAAGGCTGGGCGGCTTGCTGCTGGCTGGCAGGCTGGGGCTGGGCGGGGGGCAACTGCTGCTGTTGGGGCTGCCCCTGCCCCGTGCTGTACGGCACGCTGTACATCTCCCCTTCGTGCCGCTTGGCAGGAGGGCCGTATGTGCCGTCCATCGGCCGTTTGTAATTCTAAGACAGGGACAAGCAGAGGGGCAGTTAATATTCTGCACGCAGGGACACAAGACGCACAGCTGCCGAGATGGCTACACCAGACACTCGCCGGCTTCCTTCTGTGCCTCCAGGGGGGACAGGGACTCCAAGGGAAGAAAGGAATCACCTTTACAAATGATCTTTTGAAGTTGTTTCTGAAAGCAAGAATCAGTCCCTATTTCCCCTGGTCTCCCTTGCTCTAGGTAGAAAAATGTAGAAAAGTTCAAAAATCAAAATAAGATCGGTTTCTAGCCCTTTTGGAGAACTAGCGAGACCGGACTGGAATCTAAACAGGGATGAGATTGAGGGCTCGGCTCTTCAGCAGAACTATGTGGGTGGGAGCATACCAAAGGACCTAGAGCAAGCCTTCCTTAAACTCTCCAACTCAGCCTTCTAACCGGCTCCTGGGGGGAACCCAGCTGCCCTCCTCACCTGCTGCTGCTGCTGATACATTGTGGTCTGCTGGCTGGGGAAGGGGCTGCCGGAAGGGGTGCCTTGAGTGGAGAACTGATTGCCATAGGAATCATGTCTGCAGGAGGGAGAGAATCAGAGGATCAGGGCGGGAAGTGGCAAAGCCTGAGCCACAGCGACGCCGACAGCAGCCTTCACTCACCGCTGCTGCTGCTGCTGCGGCGGGTAGCGGCTGGGAGAGTACATCCCCGAGTCTGGGTTGGAAGGCATGAGAGTCGGCTGTGGGGCTCCGGTGCCCATGTTTCCCTCGGGTCCTATTCCAGGCTCCGTCCTGTACACAGGTGGAGCAGTGGATTGAGTCCACAATAGCTGTGGGGGGCTGGGGTGGGACAGGAGCAGGGGCCACGCTCACCTCACTCTGTCATAAGGCCCTCCATAGGGATAGTGCTGTCGCGGTCCCATCGCCACATTTCCCAGCCCAGGGCCGGCAGCTCGGCTGTAGGGGTCCATCCCACCGTTGGGGCCCTGCCCCGAGGACATGAAAGGATCGCTCCCTGGAGCTGTGCGCAGAAAGAAGGTGTGAGCAAACCGGTAAGCCAGCAGGCCTCGCAGCCTACACCTTGCCTGCCCCAAAGACCAAGCCCTCTTCAGGGCTTGGGTTTGTTCCTAGTTTCCTTGACGGGTTCAGAAGAGATCTAAAGAGGTTCCAACCAGCAAAGAGCACGTACTTGTTAAAGTGTGACAAGGTGAGGCCAGGGAGAGGGAGACAAGAAAGGAGGTAAGGATGAAGAGTGGTGGTTGGGTCTGGAAAGGCCTATCTCCGAGAATGGCTTGACAAGAACCGTGAACCACTCTCAAGATATCCCCCCATTTCCCTGGCCCTGTCCTCAAGCAGTTGGTCACCTTTCCTCATGCCGCCATAAGGATCCTTATTTGGCTCGTAGGACATGCGCCCCATCATGTCAGAGGTATTCATACTGGGCTGGTACCCAGGGTTTGGAGTCATGGAATTCCGCTTCTGGAATGTGGGGTCACTTCCATCAGGAAACGCATCCTGGATCCCAACCGAATTGCTCCTGCTCCAGAGTGAGGAAAGCCAATTAAACCCCAAATAAAGCAATTCCTTCAGTAAGCAGGGCACGTGAGAGTCCCTGGCTGGGTGGGCAGAGCAGGGACCACCCTGGGCTGCACAGAAGCTCATGCACTTCTGCCCAGGTCCTCCAAGCAACCTGCCCCTGCTCCTGGCCTTACCTCATGCCTGGCAAGGGGGGGATCTGACTGTGTGGTGTGGATGCTGGAGTTGGTGGCTTCAGGTCTCCTCCTTCTGCCATGGAACTGCTGGTTGACTGAGGTGTCTGTGGCCCCTGCATAGACCCAGATCCCGCTGTGGACAGAGATGTGGGGTGAGCCGGCAGGTGTTTAACTCTCACAGAAATATACAAATGCCCTGGGGTTTCTTTGGAAAGGACTGTTGTAAGGCTAAAGCTGGGGTTCTTTAAAGCCTAAATCACCCTTCTCAGCAGGGAATATGTAAGGCCAGGTAATAAAAAGGGAATTTGAGGGTTCTTCTTCTTCTTCTGCTTTTTTTAATATAGGCTCCATGCCCAGTGTGGAGCCTGACGTGGGGCTTGAACTCACGACCCTGAGATCAAGACCTGAGCTGAGATCAAGAGTCAGACGCTTAACTGACTGAGCCGCCCAGGTGTCCTGGGGAATCTGAGGTTTCTATTGCTCCTTGATGCTGTTTTGCATTTGGAGAACAGGAGCAGTGTGGCAATGCCATCACCATGCTAGTGTTCCCTTGTGTCTCTGCCAGCTTCCCTGACTACTTTTCTTTACTTCCCCAAGGACCCTGTCTAACCTACTAAACCCTGTAATGCTGGTGCACAAGTTCCCAGTCAGAGCCCCTGGAATCCTAGGTAGGAAGGCTCCACCTTGCCCCAAACCTTCAGTGTACTTTAAGAACCTAGGAGCTCCTACTCACAAGCATCTAGCACAGTGTCACCTCTCAGGTTCCAATGTTCTTCTAAGCTGATGCAAGCAGAACTACCAGTAATTAATGTTTCCATTAGTTACCATTCCCAGCAGCAGATATCCCACTGCTTAGGCCTCCCCAGCCGATGAGTCATCTCAGGCACTCATTACACCCTCAGAGGTCAACACCAGGGCACATGTGTTCACACCCACCTTCTAGGAGCCCTGGCCTTCTTCCCTCCCCATGCTTGCCCAGGCCCCAGCCTCCTCTCAGAAAGGAGGGTGGGCAGAGGCACTCCCATCAGAGAGTTCCATTCATATCCCCTCCCCTCCCCCTCCTTCCCATTCATTAGCATATCAGCTCCCTGGGGAATTCAGGGCTCGAGTCTGAGCTGCATTCTAAGGCGCTGACATCAGTGGGCCAAAGCTCCCAGATGGCCCTGCCTCACTGCGGATTTGTCAGATTTCCCTACTCCTCTGGTGTCCCTCCTACTCGCTAGTTTACAAACATTTGGCAAGATGCCAGGTGCACAATGAAAATTAAAACTTAAGGGCTGCTGCAGACTACCTCTCAAGGGAGTCGCCACTGTCCGCTCTTTAGTTCTGTCAGCGTGGTAAGCCCTGGGGTAGGGCAGGGCAGCGCAGCGCACATATCCCTGGGGCCACGCACTGCTGAATAAGGAGTCTGGACCCCTGAATGCTCCCTGTGAAGGGTGAGCCTTAGTGGGGCTGCTCACCCGATCCTTACCAGGAGAGGGAGGTTGGATCTTGGGCTGGGACTTCTTGGAATCAGCAGCTGCAAAGATGTCTGGGGGAGGGTCTTCTCCCCGTTCAATCTTGCACTCAAAGGCATAGAGACACTGGATATACTGCTTTTTCAAGGAGCTGGCAGCACTGCTTGAGGTGCCCACATTGAGGTTGGTCGCAAGTTCCCGCCATTTTTTGTTCTTGTTGACCTGTACAACCAACCGAAGAGTTGAGGTACATCTTCCACCTGGTCTTCCTGCTCACAAGCCCCAAACCCCATCAGGCTACCAGGCACTCATCTCTTACGGAATCACAGTTCTCAGTTAACCACCAAAGTTAACCCCCCTCAGTGCAGAGTCCACAACAAATGTTAAATCCATGGCTAGCTGCCCTCTACCCTCAACAGGCTCTATCCATAGATTACTGCAACTAGCAGACAGTGCTTATTCAAAAGAGGGCAAATTTCACATCATTATTAATGGGAGAGAACAGAATTCGGAAGGTATGATGCTTTACACGAGTATACTACTGAAAAATGGTGTGCAAATCACCATCAGATCCAAACCCCTTCAAAGGCAACAATAAAAATCAACATTTTCCAAAATGGAGACATGGCAATATCAGCTACCACTCTGCTAGACTTACTTTGTCAAACTGGAGGTTTCCATATCTGGGCTGTTTTCTCGTTGTGGGGCTCTTTGCAAATTTTACATTCTTGTGCCACTGCTGCCCTGCTTCTCAGTGACATGTCACCAACTACAAGCCCCCTTCTCTCACCAGTCACTGTCCTGATTGTCCAGGAGATGCTTCAGGCCCTCTAACTTCTCTGTGCCCTCCCAGCGGCCAGCCTATACTTGTCTCCTTTCCTAAGCTTCAGGACACACTGACCAAGACCATTCCCCAATCCCTACAGTTAAATGGTCTCTCTGCTCTAGCCAGGCAGGTCTCCTTCTTCATGTATTCTTATGCTTACTCATCCACCCCAAAGGCTGGGAACACCAGCTTTCCAGTCCCAACACACAAAGGAAGCTCAACTGACCTGGTACCTGTGATACCAGAGAGAAGAGTGATAAGGAAGCAAAGAGAGGGACAACCTAGATGGCGGGGAGGTGACCAGGAACACTTTCCAGAGCAGGCTAACATCTGAGCTGAAGCCTGAAGGTTGGGGATGGAGCTGGTTGGGTATATTCCGGACTCTCTCCTATATCTCCATGCCACGTAGGCCGGTCAACTGGATGACCCCTTCCTCTACCTACACCCTACTAATCCTTCACAGAAGCTCAGGACTCATATTCTGCCTTCTTGGAAGCTTCACAAACTTATAACGGCACTCTTTCTCCTCTGAACTCCCACTGACTTTAGCATTCAATTACATCACAGCACCTAAAAGGCTGGTGTCCTTTCGCAAACTGGAAGACAGGCGCAGGCTTCGGGATTCCCTCTGTACCGCCATCCTAGGTTCGGTGAATCCAGAAGCCTATCCAATCAAAAGTATGCCGAACCTAACCCGACGCCCCCTCCCTTTCCCTACAGGCAGGAGAAGCCTGACTACGAGAACTCAGTACCAGGGAGAATGGCAGGAATAAGCCCAGGGTCACCTCAGAAGCCTGCTGTGGCTTTGCTTCCCACGCCAGTTACGTGGCGGTGTGCACGTGTCTTGTTTTGTTTTGTTTTCCTTTGTGGGGGAAGGGAATAAAGCCTGAAGGGAGAAGGAATTCATAACTGACTGTTGGTTGGCTTCATTCCAATCACTTTCTTTTCTGCTGGTGACAGCTGTTTTCCTCTTCTGATTTAGAAGGTTTGGAACACGTCTCTCCCCGCCACGCCTCCCCCTGAGCTCAGCCACAAACTCAGATCCAACAGCAGGCTCCTGATCTGATGACTACAGAACACGCATAGGAGGAAAGTTCCCAAAGCACAGCATTGCCTCAACTATTTGCCTCCTGGGCTGAGTGTAAAGCAATGCTGTAAGGTATCAGAGCAGGGGCAAGGCTCAGGGTGGTATTCAGTTCAGAGGTTTTTAGCACAGATTACTGCATTCACTTAAGTATGCCATATGGAATAACTAAACACCCCACCTACTTCATCCTTCATAAGCTACTTCTATTAAATAGCTCCTGAAATCCCATCTTCACTGGGACTGGAAGGAAAGGGTCAGCAACTACTCTGGCTACACCTGTTCCATCTTGCAGACCAATTTACATGGCAGAAATCTTGCTGCAAGCTTTGTGTATTATTTCTAGCTTTTGACAGTCTAGCAGGATACACACTACCCCTACTTTACAAATAAGTTAGGGTTCAGAGTGGTCATTCACCTTGATTAAGGTCACATGTGTTGTTAAGTGGCTAAGAAAGAATTCAAAACCAGACTCATCTCTCCAAACCATGCCCTTGCTTACTATGCCAAACTGCCTCCCGCATTTTCCCTATCTTTGTACCCCAGTGAGACCCTAGACATATGGTAAACTCATTGCTAATACTTCCTACTACCCAGGGAGGTCTCAGCCTCCTGTCTTTGTCTTATCTTCTGGAAGCCCTGTGCTTCCAGTCTGTCAGTATGTGCCTCAGAGAGCAGGAGACGGTGATGCCCCTGTGGGATGCTTGGCACCAGGTGAAGCCACTGAGTACCTAGAGAGAGGCTTGTTGAAACCACAGAGGAAGCCAAGTGCTAGGCACTCACCTGAGTCAATCCACCAATCTCCTTCACAGACACATAGAGGCGATAGAGGTCCAGAGGTTTCCTACCCACAGCAGGCAGATTTGTCATGCCCATGGCCTTCTCCTCCGTGAAGGCCAGATAACGGTCCACCCACATCTTCCTCTCAGGCTCACCACCCAGCTCATACAACTTGGTGATCTTCTCATTGGTTGTAGTAGAAGAACTGGATTTCTGGAAGGGGCAGGTCAAGATTCATAGGAACCGGTCAGATTCAAAGCCTATGCTAAGGGTGGTCTCAGAAGTCCCTTGATTAGGGCATTGGTAAAGCTTCTTATTCTGGGGTAGTCAGTAACATGTCCCTTGCCTTCGCAAGGTCAGAAGACCAAATGGGAGCTAGAAATTCTTCCTGTAAAGGAAGGAAGCTAACACTGCCTATATGTTATGCATTGGGTGCCGTGCTAGACGCCTTTATATATCAGCCATTATTAATTATCGTCCTCTTCAAAGGTAAGGAAGCAGGCACAGGAGGCCATTCCTAAAATCTCATTGTTTTTAAGTAGCAGAGCTAAGTGTCAAACCCTTATCCACCTGACAACAATGTCACTATACTACTTCCATGCTATTACCCAGGAGGCTGGGCATGATTTTATAAACTGTTTCAGAGAACTCAAGAAACTCAAAACGTTGATTTTGAGACAATGGGATAGACTAAAATGAAAAGAAACTTCCTCCTCTCAAGAAAGGAAGGGTCTCCTACCTGCCTGAAAGGCTTTGGATGTTAAATATCCTGTCCCAGACAGGAGGATGGCTAAAAGGGTCTGAGAGTCAGAGGTGAAGGTCCACAGGACGTGGCAGCTGTACATTTTTATTTCCCCTACTTTATAAGATAGGGAAAATGGGGTATGACAAAGGGCAGAAATGTTTCAAATGATTCAAACACTGACCAGGTCCCCAGACTGCCACACAACCCAACAGATAGCACACTCAGGGCCATCCTACAGGGAGGCCAAGCAAGGACCCAAACCCCCACCTGCCTCATCTTCCTCTCTATAGAACACAGGGCACCAACCATTCCTGCTGCTCTGAGTAAGGTCCAGGAAGAGAAGAGCAACTAGTTGCCCATGGCACACACCACCTATCAATGCATGAGGACAGGGTGCACAGTTTCACAAAGGGCATTACAGAGGATTCTACACTGCAGGCCTGGCATTTCCTCTATCACAGATAGCTGTGAGAACATTGTGTTATTTACATCAGGACCCCTTAGGCTAAATGAAATCTAATTCAATGAGCCACTAGCCTGGGACCCTTCATGATCAGAAGATCAGCCTTTTCTGAGATGATCTAGTCCATGTCATAAAAGGCTAGAGTCTAGTCACCCTCTTCTCTTTTTCCTTCCTATCCCTGGAGAGGATGGGACAGACAGTTGAGGAGTCAGGATATAAATCATTACCTTGGATTTGGATTCTGTCTTGGGTGTCCCGTCTGCCTTGTTGTTCATTTTGGTGGCTGGAGTTAACTTGACGTCCCCAAGGCCCATCATCTCTGGGCTGGCTGCCATCCCTATAAAAGAGAAAAAAATCTCAAGTCCAATAAGTTTGTGACATGAAGATCATTCTGGAAGAAATTCCTGGGATGAGCAAGGACTTGGATTTACCTGCTGAATTGTTGGCCATGGTCCCACCCATGGGATACGGGGGTCCCTGAGGGTTGATCATGCCAGCCATACTATTAATCCCTTGTCCGTAGGGAGGTCCAGTTCCCATCATGCCCCCCTGATTCATATTGGGGTAGCCTGGTGGCCTGAGGAAGAAGATGGAAAGTGAGAGAGAGACAAGAGTTAGACACATTGAGCTTTCATATTTGGAACTGAGCTAAATAGAGTTTGTGAGCCAAGATCATCTAGTGAGGCTTACAAGGAAAAAGTTTATGGGTTTCCCAAACCACAACCATGTACCACCTGACCCAGACATTCCTATCTACTACCTCCCACGAAAGGTTCTACGATGGTTCAGGCTCCAAACAGGAAACCATAGCTCAATTTTAAAGGATACAATCCTTGGAGAAGGGACCCCTACCGTGTCTCTTAAGTACTGCCTCCCTCTAAGTGTCAAAATGTGTTTCCATTTAAGGGCTTCTCTATGGCAAAAGGCCTAGATTTTACCACTCTGTCATGTCAAAACCCAACCAAACTGGACCCCTCATGGCACAGCACCTGGAGGTGCTTTCTTTTTTTTTTTTTCAAGATTTTATTTATTTATTTGACAGAGAGAGACACAGCAAGAGAGGGAACACAAGCAGGGGGAGTGGGAGAGGGAGAAGCAGGCTCCCTGTGGAGCAGGGAGCCCGATGCAGGGCTTGATCCCAGGACCCTGGGACCATGACCTGAGCCGAAGGCAGACGCTTAACGACTGAGCCACCCAGGCGCCCCGTGGATGTGCTTTCTTGATGGACCTACCCGCAAACTCTATGCTTCCATCATTCTGAAACACTACCAAACCCATCTCTTTACCATTAACCCCCCCTATTCTACCTTAGTTCATAAGCATTCCAGTATACAAGAGTCACTGTAAGAACTGTAGCCACCAACAGAGGGGTACACAGAGCCTTCAAAAGCCAGTAGAATCATATTCACTGAAGTGAACGGCCACCAAAGTGAGTGTCCAAGGAAGAATGGATGAATCTTCAAAGTCATTAAACCAAATCACATGAGCTCTCTGCACTTTAGTGCCAGATTCAAACACAAAGAACCACACAGAACAGTAGAGAAATGGCAAGCCACAACCTTACCATCCTCTATTTCTCACACTACAGATCCAAGTTATATGTATCATTAAAATCCTTTTGGAAACCAAAAAACTAGATTGACAGAAGAAACGGAGAAACTCTGAAAACTTATTTTACTCATCAAAATAACCTATGCTTTCTAAAGTTCTTTACATACAATATCTGGACATGTGAAATTTGATACCAACTGAAGATGCTTAAGAATCAGCACTTTTGTTGGTTTTCTTTCCCACTGTAAGGAAACCCAGTTTTCTAAAGAGCTCTCGATAAAATACATATTTACCAAGATGGCATGGTTCAGATCCAGAAGCATCTCAACAACCCAAATCACTTTACAATTTATTTCCTTCTGCTGACACCCTCTTCGCTTCCCAGGCCTTACCTGTTTTGGATAGAGTTGGCAGCAACATGCATGGCGACAGCAGTTTCTTGAGTTTTCCGATTCATGCCCCCTGGTGGGGGACACATCCCTGACCCAACCTGAGGTGGCATATTGGCCATGTTAGGGCCATAAGGCCGGTTGCCCATGGAGGCATGACTCATTCTCCCTGGAGGGAGTGTGCCATAAGGTGGGATGCCAGGCTGCCCATGCATCTGACCTCCAGCACCCATAGGGTTCATACTTCCGGCCATGCCTGCACTGGGGTAGTTAGCATTGGGCAAGGCATTATAGTTTGGCTGCCTGGGGTAGCCTCCTGGGAAGGAAAGAAGAGAAGACGCAGAGACTTGGTTAGTGACTCAGTAGCAACTTCTTAATCTCGCTCAGCTCTAAAACTCCAAAGATAATAAATGATAGGAATCACTCACTATTTGGTCTGATAAGAGACCAACTTCATGGCAGCCTTCACCCCATTAAAAAAAGGGGGGGAGGAGGCCAGGAACACAGAAAGGCAGGCCTCAGTTGTCCTCTCATCCTAAAGCCAGTGCAGCACAGAGCAAGGCTTGCTGGCAGGCTCTGCTGCTACCCAGGCCCCTCAACTCCCAGAACTCCTTCCTTTCTACATAGGCAATCTGCCGTCTCTTCCATGTTCTGTGTAAGACATTCAGCTTTAGATCCACCCAGGGCTCATTTTGAGGAAAGATACATTCTATTAGGACTAATTTACTTTAATTACCATTAAGTGTTTGCCCAGTCTTGAGCTAAACACCTTCTCCCCATTTTACGGATGAAGGAGAGACTCAGGGATATTCAGGGACTTTCCCATGTGACAGTCCTGCCCTATTTTAGGGCCTGGCTTTGGTGGATTTAAAGCAAAGGGCAGTCCTACTCTTATAACCCAGAGAGCAGCATATGTATACATCTCTATGTACTCCTAACTGGGTAACATACTCACCCTGTGGGCCGTACTGACTCCCCTGGGGACCATAGCTCCCCATGGAGTTCTGCTGGTAGGAGCTCATGCCTGTGTGCATCTGTCCACCCGAAGGCTGACGCGGAGATAAGGCCGAGCCGGGCTGGGGGGAACTGTACTGGGGCATCTGGGGGTTCCTCTGCATGTAACCTATTTGTGGGTAGTGTCCATATATTATTACCTCAGTACAATGAGAACAGATGTTCTCCCTTATCATAAGACCTCACCATCTACATTTTCTTTAGCAACTACCTACGAAGTCTCTATCTTACTTGCTATATAATTATGTGCTCTTTTAGGCACCCTCCAAAGTGACATTGCCACCAACCAGGGCATGCCAACTGTTTCTACTAAATGGGGGTCTGAAAAGACAAACAGCAATGACAACAAAATGGGACAGGATTTAAAGGGTAAAGATTTGATGCCAAGTCTTCAGTATCTGCTGACCAAATTAGACACAATGTAGGAAGGAATCCATTAGAGCACAAACACTGAGAAACAACACTGGGGGGCAACACAATACTGGAGCCACCAACACGGTTAAACCCACTCTAACTTCACAATTCATTGCTGGGATTGTCCTAAGCTTCCTGGTCATACAATTCTCCAAAAGCTATTGCACAGGATAATCAAATGGCTCCCTTAGACTTCTGCACCTCCCTGAAAGCCCAGGGTCTCACCTCTATCTTGGGCAATGCTCGATTGGTTCATGGAAGGATGCATGATGCTGTCCGACTGGCCACTGGGTGGCCGAGGTGGCATCTGGTTGCCTGCTCCAAACAGAGAAAGAAGCCAGTCATGGCTAAGCCTGGAAATTCTAGCCAGGAGGTCATTTCAGAGCTGGAAATGGCTCCTGCCAAGGCCAAACCTCCCAGTAACACATACACAGAGGGACCCCCACCAAGGGGCTCCCATCTCTCTTCTTCAAATGCTGAAGTTCAAACTTCGCAGACATGAACCAGAGATGTTCTCTGTGACAGTGGAAGGCTGGGGCTCCCTGATATCACTGGGGGCCAGTCCCTTTTCCCTCTCCCTGAAGTCCAGCACTTGAAGGTACCTGGCACTGCAGCAGGCGAGAGTGGTCCTGAGCGAGACTGAGCAACACTGGCGGGAGAGCCAACAGGGGACGGGGAGGGGCCTCGGATGCCAGGCAGGTGAGGGGAGGTATGAGGAGAGAAAGGAGACTGAGCTGGATTACTCTGCTCTCCTTGGCTGCTGGAAATCCCTGATGTGCTCACTCCAGGGCTCAGAGCTCCTTCTGTCCCCATGGGGAGATCGTCTATTGAACCAGATAGATCCTGAAACATACACATAAGCATATGGATTAGCAATGTTAGGCAGAAAGACTTCTTTCAACAGTTGTACTACACAATTAATATTTTACCTAGCCAACCAAGAGCAAACACACTGCACAAGTTATGTAGTCATGATACTAAAGCTTACAGATGGCAAAACTCTATTCAGAGTCAGATAGAAAATATTTTAGACTCTGTTGGCCATTAGTCTTTGTCACAACTACTCAACTCTGCCACCATAGTGCTAAAGCAGTCACAGATAATCCTTCAACAAATGGGTAGACTGTGTTCTAATAAAACTTTATTTATAAAAACAAGTAACTAGCCCATAAGCTGTAGTTTGCTGACCCATGGTCTATCTATCAGAGCAGATCATCTAGCACTTTCATCTTCTTTCCTGTCCCCAACTTCTTTTTTTTTTTAAAGATTTTATTTTATTTTATTTTTTTAAGATTTTTATTTATTTATTTGAGAGAGAATGAGAGACAGAGAGCACGAGAGGGAAGAGGGTCAGAGGAAGAAGCAGACTCCCTGCCGAGCAGGAAGCCCGATGCGGCACTCGATCCAGGGACTCCAGGATCATGACCTGAGCCGAAGGCAGTCGCTCAACCAACTGAGCCACCCAGGCGCCCAATATTTTATTTTATTTTTGACAGAGAGAGACACAGAGAGACACAGAGAGAGGGAACACAAGCAGGGGGCGTGGGAGAGGGAGAAGCAGGCTTTCTGCTGAGCAGGGAGCCCAATGCGGGGCTCGATCCCAGGACCCTGGGATCATGACCTGAGCCAAAGGCAGATGCTTAACGACTGAGCCACCCAGGCGCCCCTCCTGTCCCCAACTTCTATAGTCACAAGAAAGCTGCTCTTTCAGTGAGACTTTAGTTCTTTTCTGATGGGGAAACTTGACAAAATACTGCCAGGATGGCACCACGAGCTAGCTACAGGAGAATGTTAAACAAGTTTGGGCAACATTCACAGACCCCCTCTCCATCAGATTATTATAACCTACGTTTACCAAGGATGCACTTGCTCCAAGTTACCACACAGTAAACATAAAGGGTAGAACGTGGGAAAGGGACAGATTGTATGAGACAATTCCTTAACTGCCAAGAAGATCTGGGACTACATTCCTAACAACTGGCCCACAACAGGGATGAACAAATGTTTACCAACTGAGCAAATCAGTTTTCCTCCTAGCTTTGTTTTTTCGGTGAAAACTTGATGTTTATTGGGGGGCTTTGCTTACCTTGAATTCATCAGTACAGTGTTCACTCGAGGTCAGTAATCTCCTGAGATTAGCAACCAGGAGCTCAATATGAAAAATATTCACCAAAGGAAATGCACACCCAGCCCCAACCTCATTCTCTAGCAGTATCACTGGTTCAACACCACACGTTAACTTCAGGCTGGGAACTAACTAAAGGATGAGAGCTTTGGGTAGGGGCTCAGATCTGGGAAACACCTAATGCTCAAATGTTTAAAAAAGAAGTTCTCTTAAAGAGACATCTGAAGAGAAAGGAGATCCAAAATGGCCTAAGTCTATTCCTATTCCTACAACAAGCTCACCCTAAAAAGATTAGCTCAAGATAACACTGACCCTGGAGTCTGACAATAACACTGAAGGCCAGAGAGCACCTCTTAGGCTCTCCCCAAAGTATTATGTTGGTTGGACCTTCTGCAAATCAGCTGGTTACTTCACTAAGCTGGGAACATTTCCGCGGAGTTCTATGGGAATAAAGCTTGCCCTGAAGGCAAGGCAGGCAGGTAGGTATGCATTTGTGCCTGTGTCCAGCTCTCCACTGTTAGCTCAGAAGTCAGAAAATGCTAGCTTTCCAAAATGCTAGCACACCATAGCATGCTTTAAATATGAAGTAAGAATTAGTCCCAGCATGGACAAGAACTCAAGAAGGCTCTCCTGTAGATAACACCAGAAGGTGTCTTCCCTTTCAAAGGACTAAAGTACCTGGAGCTATATAAAGCCCTGGGTTCATCCCAAGAAAGGAGAATTCCACCCCCATGTTGAGGGCTAAGCTATACCAGGGATACCTGGCTTCTGAGCCAAGGAGAATAAGCTCAAAGAGGCAGCAGCAAGAAGACAAGAGAAGCCAACTGTGTAGACCTTGAAAGCCACTTGTTAGGCCCCGACCTGTAACAGAAACCACAGCTCAAAGCTTTCTTTTAGGGACCAGTAGGTTCCCTCAGCATTCCTTCCTTCAGGACCCATTCCTTATTGATCTGCCAGCTTCCGGTAATACAACTACTTGCTTACAGAAAAAAGAAATCAGTGTATTTTGAAAAAGAATAGGAATCAAAGGTCCATCCATAAGAACTTGGCCCTATTCAAATGGCTTTGGAAAATTAAGTGTTTTGAATTATCTTCGGTATGTATGTATGTATGTATGTATTCATTGGGGGGGGGGCGGTTGAGGGAGAGGGAAAGAGAATCCTCAAGTAGACTCCCCGCTGAGGGCAGAGCCCGATGCAGGGCTCAATCCCAGGACCCTGAGATCAGACCTGAGCCGAAACCAAGAGTCAGATGCTTAACCGACTGAGCCACCCAGGTGGTAAAAACAGTTCAGATAGTAGAGGTAAAGCCAAAGTTCCCCTTTGCTCTATTTCTGCTGCCTTCAACTGAGGAATCCCTGCTCAACTGGGTATATACCCTTGGAAATCTGAGGAACTGAGGCGGGGGGGAAGGGAAGAAAAAACCCCAACAACAGCCCACCAACCACTGCTATGAGTCGGAACAGGGCCTACGGATGGCTCCTCCTTCAGCCACGCTTCTGTTAAAAACCAGGTTCTCCACAGATCCATAAGTGAATGTGTTAGTCCAGCTGAGAGATCCCAGGAGCCTGAAGAAAACACTGGCAACCCCTGGGACTGGGCTCTCAGGACCCTGGAGGTATCTGTGGGGGCAACGTGGTGGCTTTCTTCACAGAGACACTCTGAGGAGGGCCGTCAGTTGTGGTAAAGTGCCCTGAGCTCCTTGGAGAAAAAGTGCTAAATAAACCACTGTCAACAGCAGCCCCACGTGGGCTGGGATGCCTGAGCACAGAATAATAGTGGGGAAGGAAATAGCATTAATCTTCTTATCTCTCTGATTTGGTTGGTTTGAGGCCAATCTCTCAAACTGTCATTTTCAGCAGATGGCAACTGGTCAGCATGGGGGTAGTTGATTTAAAAGAAAAATTTGTTTTTCTTTTTAAAGATTTTATTTATTTGGGGGGGGGGGAGAGAGAGCTAGAAATAGCTAGAGAGAACACAAGCAGTGGGGGAGGGGCAAGGGAAGAGGGAGAAGCAGACTCCTTGCTGAGCAGGGAGCCCGAGTGGGACTCGATCCCAGGACCCTGGGATCATGACTTGAGCCGAAGGCAGGTACTTAACCAACTGAGCCACCCAGGCCCCCCTGTTTTTCTGTGTTTTTGTTTGTTTGTTTGTTTTGTTTTTTTAAAGAACCAGAATGTTAGCATAGGAAGGGACAAATCATTTGCCATTTACCATCTGAGCATGTATAATGTGCCAGGCACTTTATGGAGTTCCTTACTTTTCTACTATTCTCGGAAACAGGTACTATTACCATTAACATGTTGAATATGTGCATGCTGATGCTCAGAGAGATTGGGTTACATGCCCAAGTCATCCAGCCAGTAAGTAGCAGAAACTAGATTTTGAACCCAGGTCTGCTGAACCCCAAAGTCTATGTTCTTTCTCTCTCCATTATGCTGTGATACTATATGGACTGAGAAAAAGTACTACACCTTTGAGTTAGGAGACCAAAGCTGAGTTCTTGGTACTTATCACTTGTGGCCTTGGACAAGCTGGCAACAAGCTGGGCCTGGTTTTCTCAGTTATACAATAGGGGGACTGGACAAATCTGAGTTCATGGTAACCCTGGGCCATATGCATGAAACTCCACTGGCACCATATGGTTGGGGCCATATGGAATATGCAGTACCAGCAGTAACAGCCTGGAATGAGAGATATGACAACACACAAGCAGTGTAAGATATAAGACATATCGATCAGTCCCAGTAGCTTAATCACAGTAAATGTCTTCACTGGGAAATGGGAGGGCCTGGTGGGGAGGAAGACTCCAAATTTTGAAGTGTCTCCCCTCTATCTACATGAACAGATATTGCTCTGAATTCCATGTCCTTTTTATTTTCATTTTTTTAAAGTTTTATTTATTTTTTGACAGAGAGAGCGAGCGAGAGAGGGAATACAAGCAGGGGGAGTGGGAGAGGGAGAAGCAGGCTTCCCGCTGAGCAGGGAGCCTGATGTGGGGCTTGATCCCAGGACTCTGGGATCATGACCTGAGCTGAAGGCAGACGCTTAACCGACTGAGCCACCCAGGCGCCCCTCCACATCCTTTTATTACATGGGACACACCTCTGCTTTCTACCCCACAAAAAGCCAGTTTTTCAGGTCTTTTGTTCTACAAAAAGCGGATGTCTGCTTGTTGAGTCAGACCTCAATGTGCCGAACAAGTCTGGCTTTCCACAACACACCTATCACACAAAATTCAATCAACCCAAGCCCCTACTCTCCCTGGCAGGGGCTACTTTTAGCATTTCAAAACTCAGGGTGTCTTGGTTCTTCCAAAAGGGCCCACCTAACAGGTATCTTCCAAGAGGTCTATTGAAAGAATTGTAGCAATGTCCCTTAAGTGGAAAGATATCTTTTCCCAGGTTTGTTCTCTTCCAAGCATAATCCTGCTGAGAGATAGGAGGTGAGGATCAGCCCACTCAGTGCCCTGCCAGTTCCGAGGAAGCAGCAGGGCCAGGGAGAATTTCCTCACGTGTTTCCAACGTGTTTCATGCATTTTATTGCTCATCTACCATGCAGATCAAAAGCGCTGGAGCAGGTCCAACTATTTCACACAGAATCTCACACTCCAGGCTGGCTACAGCCCCGAAAGCCTTCGTTTCTTCACTTGAAATACTGCCCAATGTTATTTTGGGATGTGACCTGATAGAGGAAGCCCATAGGGACTCCAT